AGGCATGAAGTGATATCTCATTGTGGTTTTGATTTACATTTCCCTGGTTATTAGTGATGTTGTATACCTCTTCATGTACCTGTTGGCCATCTGGATGTCTTCTTTCAAAAAATGTCTATTCAGGTCTTCTGCCCATTTTTAAAACAGATTTGTCTTTTTGATTTTGAGTTGTATGAGTTCATTACATACGTTGGATATTAACCTTCTATCACATATATAACTTACAAATATTTTCTCCCATTTGGTAGGTTGCACTTTTATTGATGGTTTCGTTTGCTGTGCAGAAGCTTTTCAGTTTGATGTAGTCAAGCATGTTTATTTTTGTATTTGTGTATATATATATAATATATTATATATAACAATATATAATATATGTGTGATAGTATATATTTATATATAAATATATACACAAATACATATATGTATGATATATGTATGTATATCATAACACATGGTATATATACGTATATATCATATACATACAATTTTTATGTGTAGGAGAATTGGCCTGATAGAAGTCACTTGCCATTAATGAAAGTGAAATCCTCTACATTATTTTAATTGATTTAATAGAATGGCTCTTTCTTAATGATATTTGAATAGACAACTTCATCTAACAAAAAACTATCTTGGGTGATTAATAGTGCACAATAGATATGTGTTGAAAATTCCAGTTCGAGATGTTAGTATTCCATTCTACTACCATGGGTTCCAGCTGTAAAGATTCTTTAGACCGAAAAAGAAGTAATCCTTGTTGGGAGCTCTATGGGTATCACCTTGCCAGCATGGGCTAGAAACTTCAGGTTTTCTATCTCATCCATGTAACTGTGTGTTCAATGGAATAACTGACTTGGGTCTATTGCTAATGAATTACCCTCTGGATTCAGATTAGGTCAAGAATTGGCTATTGTCCTCAATGTGACCCCATGCTGAACCACATGACAGGTCGGGAATTGCTGATCATGTATGCCAGGCTGCGGGGGGTCCCGGAGCCAGATATTTACATGTATGTGGAAACTTTTTTTGCATTCAATGCACCTGGAAACCCATGCTGACAAGTACATCTACACATACAGGTAAGACATTATGCTACTGTATTTATTAAGCTGCCTGCTGCACACCTGTGTTTCTACTGTTAGAATGAATGCCTGTAAACTCAACCTGACAACTCTGTCACACAGAGGCCATGACTATGAAAGAGCCTTATGTCTTGTCAGGGTTTGGATGTCAGGAATAAGGCAGATCACACTTGCATGAAGTTAACTTTTTGTAGGCATAAGCTGTAGCCTTTGCATTTCAAAAATGAGCAGCTTCATCCATATATGACTATGTTTTTT